ACTTAAATATTAAAAATTGTATTTTCGATTATGTGTTTCATGTTTTCAATTAAATTGTCGTATGTACATATCTTGAAAAAAAATTGTGCTTGATTTAGCCCAACACATCTTATTTGAACCATACTCAATTTCATGAGCGATAAGGACAAAATGTCCTTAAGGTAATAAAATTGAAAAAAATTGCGTACACGTCTGTCAGACGGATGTTCCTATCAGCGGCCAAAAACTGATGTTCCGGCCAGAGGGTTAAATAAAAAGCATATTTTAAAGGTTGCATCTCTTGTCAGATATGAAATAATTTTTATTTCTGAATTTTTCTATTATTTTTAGAATTGAAATATAACACCAAACTTCCTGTGTCGTAGAAATTTTCGATATTTGTATACCTTATTTAGATTTATGTTTAAAAAATTATATAAGCGAATTGTATGTAGTCATCAATCATTTTGTGAAAAGAAACGCGATGTTTAATATAAATACAAAAAAAAACCCTTTTATTATAATTTATTTAAAAATTAGAGTCTCTCTCTCTCTGAACTGGCACAACATGCCAACTGGAATACTTTGAGCCTCAGCAGATTTAACATGCCTCAGCCCCTATACACAGCGGATCTTCAGTCAGTGGCGTAACGGAGAATATTAGAACCCCCTGCAAAGTGAGATTTGGGGCAACCCAAGCCCAAATACAATACTTTGCGTCAGTCGGACTTTGGGCCCTCTAGAATCCCTGCCCCCCCCCCCAATGTGGGGGTGTACGTTACGCCACTGTCTTCAGTGATACTAGGCTAGAAACTCATGCCCTGCCTACCACGAATCCGTGACCATGACCACTAGGATACCATGACCACAGCAAAGAAGGCGGAGCTTTTATGCTTTTTTTTCTGAAAACTCTATTTTATTTTTATTTATTACATTTAAAACATTTTAAAGGGGCTGTAGGTAGCCTAGTGGTTATAGCATTGGACTCCAGACCGGAAGGTCTGCTTAGGCTAAAATTTTAGCCCTTAGCCGCGATGAATTTCGTGGACCTTGATCTGATGTTTCTGTCGATCAGGTGGCATAAGCAACAACAACAAGAAAACATTTTTAAAAGATAGTTTAAATAATATACTAATATTCTTGAAACTTATCGTTGAATTATTTCATATTTGGTTAATGGAGCTAACTATGTTATATATATCATCAAAAAGCCATACAGGATAATTTTTTTTTGAAGTAAAAAGAAAATTTTATTCACACAAGCTCACACTTCTCTTGTAGGGATTTTAAAAACTTTTTTCTGTTTTCTCTTAGGCATTTATTTACAAAATTTTGCAGCGGATGGCCATCAATTTCACTTCTTTCTGACAAAATTGAACTTTCATCATAATTTCTTTTCTTTTCTGTAAATTTTGTTTGATTTCATTTTACTTCAAATGAGTATTTTCATTCAAAAATATTTTAAGTGTAAAACATATTGTTTACTTAACTCCTTCTCCAACCCCATGGTGGTGTCAAAAATTACTTTCTTTTTCATTAGAAAAAAGAAAGCTACCGCAATTTTCCATTGTTACGGAAGACTGCTTCCGAAATTGATGCATCCTCAAGGTCGTCCGTTGCGCCGTAAAAAGAAACATAACAATACATAAGATCAAAATGGTGTCACCGAAATAGGAAACGGTGTCACTCCGTTCAAGGCTAGTGGATCGGAAGTGATCGGGATTAGTTTGCTTGAAGCTTTGTTTAGAGAAAATCTTTCCTTTTTCCCCTCAAAGATCATTATACGGAATAAACCACGAGATTAATTATTGGAGTCACTGAACCACGAGGATTAGAGCGGTTTCAACCGATTTCAAAGAGTCATACAACATTTAATGAACCGGTTGAAGGTCAAAGTTAAGATCTTGAAAAACCTCTTAACTAATAAAAGTTGTAAGAAGGGATCTCTGCGATGTTAAAGCTACATACAGCTCTAAAGCTAGAATAATATATGTATAGTATAAAAGTTACAAACATAAAGTTTTGCAATGAATAGAAATAAATACCTTAGTATCTATCTACCTCTATAATCTTAAAAATTGATGTTAACGTAATTTAGGAAAACTTTTCAATGTATGCATCTAATGTGTGTCTAATGGTAGTAAAGTGGGTCATTTAAAAGAAATCCAAGTGGAATTTAAAGTTGAAAAGGGGTTTTTGAAGTTAGTAAATTTGTAGGTGGAAGGGGGGAAGGACTCCATATTTTTTTAAAAAGAAAACCACATTAGCTGCACAAATTACAGCTAAAATAACCACTTGGAATCGTTCAAACGATGAATTGTGATGGAGAGCCGCTTGTAGGCTAGAAGCTGGACAGTCACAGGTGGAAGTTGCTTCTTCGCTGCGAGTGTCACATAGGGTGATCTCCAGGTTATGGCAACAGTTTCAGACATCAGATACGATCACTTGGAGTACTGTACAAGATCATCCAATTGTCGACACTTACGGAGGATCGCTATGAGGCTTTAAATGCACGGCATCATAGAGGTATGGCTGCTAGGGAGTTGCCTCAAGACTTTGCTGCTGCCTCTGGAACAATGATATCGAGACAAACCGTACATAGACATCTAGCTGAGAGGAGCCTTTACGCCCGAACACCAATGGTGTGTGTCCCCCTTAAGTTGTTTCACAAGATAGAAAGCCTGTCTTGGAGACATGACTCTTGGACACAATTAGTTTAGCGCAGTGCCTTATTCAGTAACGAATCGCGATTCAGCACACAAAGCGATTCTCAATGAATTTTCATCTAAAGAAAACTTCGAAAGGCTATCATCTGAAAAACATGGGAGAATTCTTTGGTACACTGCTTTGGTGGTACTGGTATTCTTGCATGAGGAAGGATAAAATTGCCACACCCCTCAGTATCTTCTCTGTTGGTATAATGACAGTAGAACGTTATACGTATGATAATTTAGAACTTTACGTGTGACTTTTTCGATGAGTTGTGGGAGACCAATTCGTTTTCCTGGACGATAACATCTGACCATACAGAGGTACACTTGGTGGCGATTATCTGAAAAAAGTGGATATTCGCCGTATTATATAACCAGAGAGGTCCCCAGACCTCAATCCTATACAGAAGGGATGTTTAGTCAAGGAAGCGCCACTGCATGTCGGCAACCCCTCGAAGGATGCTTCAGGCGTTTAAATCGGTTCTTTTGGAGGAAAGAAAAATTACAACCACTATCATTGATCAATGGCTTCATTAACAGTATGAGGTCACGTTGTAACGCTTCTATAGTTGTACAAGGGGGTCATACCTCTAATTAGGCAAGAAAGGCAGAGTTATGATGTGTTCAGATTTAACCAATGTCGCTCTCCTATTTCACATTAGCTTACAATAAACTTTGTGTTTTTTTTTCCGTTACTATTTTCTGTTAAATAGCATAAGGTATAAATATGCAAAAGTCTCCATGCATTAGACTAAATTTCTTTCAAAATATCTCTCTTTATGTTTGCAACCATATTTTTGACTGCAGCGTATATATATAGTTAGATGGACTTAGAAGAGATATGTTCATCTCTTCTATGCTATAACAGTATAGTTATTCACTTATTCGTTTTATATTGAACAAGATTTCTTAACTTATGTTCTTCCACCGACGCCTTTACAGAGGGAATTTTAATTTTGGAACCCAATGCGCGTGTGCGTGCGTAATATATGAAAAAATGCAGTATGATAAAAGGAAATGAAGAATTATATATAAAATAGTAATACATTTATCTCTCCATCTAAAATTTTTTTGAGAAAACAAAATGGATATTTAATGCAAATTTATCAATCAATATCAAAGTTCTTAAAGCTGTCTAAAACTCAATATTAAAGAGCCGAAATAAAAATTCAAACGCTTTTTCAGAGAGAAAAAAAATTCGAATTTTCACATATTTTCAGGACTTTATTTCTCATATGTATATTTTTAAAAAATGCAGTATCTTTAAAATTTAGAACAAATTCATATATAAAAAGTTTTTTTGCAAGTAAAGTTTAAAACCTATTTAGCTTTATAGCATAGGAGTCAATGCGCCGAATATTTTTTAAACCATAAAAAAAAATTAATTATATTTCTCTCCGCAAGATAAAGTGAAGTTACAGAATTTAATATTTATGTCGAGTAGTTCTCAAACTGAAAAATTGTTCCGAATTGAGGTCCTATTCTTTAACCCATTCTGGTATGATTCTTAATAACATTTACATATTTGCATGATTGTTTTTCAAAATAATCTTAATTTGTAGAAATTAAAATGAGTAAAAGAGCTTTTTATTTTTTAAGTTAAAGAAACATTCAAAAATAGATAAAAATAAATTGATTTATGCATGTTATATATTGACTTTAAAGTTGGTTTGTAGAAATCTAATAATCACATAGTAACGTCTTGAAATATATACATATAATTCTTTTAAAGTTTTTGTTTTTAAATTTACATTATAAACTTTGCATTGTTCACTTACCGTAAAGACAATTCAAGAACATGTCTTTCTTTACTTTGCTCAATAAGAAATCAAAATTTTGGAGTTTCACTGGGCTTGCTCCTACTGTCAGCATCTTCAAATGCTCCATCTTGCAGGTGGGACCTGCAAAAAAATTAATAACATGAAATGTTATAAATTTCGTACAAAATAAATTTGAGCCGGAGGACTACTTTGTTAAATTTTATAAAACCTTCTATATCAAAACAAGTAACATATAAAAAAAATTAAGTCAATTCCTACTTAGGTCAACAAAAAAAACTTTATTTTATGTAGTTAATTTTTATTAAAAAATTACAATTAATATACCTATGTATAGAAAAATGACCAAATCACAATATTAAGTGGCAAAATAGAAAGAGATTTTCCTTGCAATTTTCCATTTTCCTTCTATATATGGTGTTGGACTATTTTATTTTTGTTTGATACTATTTATTCATTAATTATATATAAAAATTTAATTATTCCAATAAAATAGTATAGTAAAAAGATATCACATTCTCAGAAATTAGGCCATCCCAGGTGGTAATTTAACCCACGATCTTTGGACTAGAAATCCAACGCACAATCCATTGCGCTACGGGACACAACGAGCGATTTTCCTTTTTATATATAGTGTTGGACTATTATTTTTGTTGTTATTATTTATTCATTAATTAAAAAATTGATGAATAAAAACCTGAAAAAACTGTATTAACATCAAATGCCATCCACTACAAGTTTAAAAAAAATTGATTTGAACTTGAGTGGATGAATAAAAAGTATTTTATTAACGATTAAAAATTTGAACAAGATATATATATATATATATAGTGAAACGTCGTTTATCGGAACGTTTATTATCCGGAGCGTCAAATATCCGAACCAAAGCCCGGATCCGTTTTCGGACTGTGAAATGCTCAACATTTGTTTCCTGTGAGGCCAAAATTGACGGGAAAACTCAAGGTGAGGGATATTTGGGGAATTTTAGCTGTGTGATTTGGTAAACATCTGCGCGGAATATTAGGTCAGTTTGCTTCCAAGTGAGAGGGTGCATACGTGCTCTTTTGTTGAGTTTTGTTGATGTAGAAACCCGGATGACATGCGATGCAGAAGACTGTGGATATCAAATGCTAAATGATGACGGGATTGTAACTTCCGTTCAAGAAGAATCCGACCCTGTCGACGACGAAACGGATGAAGACGAGGACAACAATAACGAAAGTAGCAAATGCTGACGCGTTTCTGCGTTAGAGACAGCTATGGAGTAGTACGAACAACAATCAGAGTGCTGTCCTACTCAACTACTGCTGCTGAAGAGAATCAGGGACCTTGCATTGAAAAAACGAAGGTGTACAATAGTACAGCAAAAAAAATAAGTGATTATTTTCCACAATAAAGGTAAAATTGCGACATTTTGCACCTATTTTGCTTTCTCTTGAAGCATGTTTGCCGCCTGAGATGATTTTCAATATTTGTATAGTGTCCACTATCATATATTGCATGGATCGCATTCGGTTATCCGAACAATCGCGTATCCGAACGGTGACCGGTCCCAAATGATTCGGATGAACGACGTTCTATTGTATATATATATATAGGGAGAGTGTGAACTAATAGTAAGAATTGAATAACTTTAGTTTGCGGGGGGGGGGGGGGTTGCATTTGTTTTATCTAAGATTTTATTAAACATTATTTACTTATTTATTTTTTTGAAAATTATTATTTTCTTTCACCCCCATCCTCAATTTAAAATAACTTATATGTATTTATATGAGAAATTAAACCCTTACTTGCGAAAATTCGACTTACGCAGTTATCACTCAGCCCCACCTATCGCGTAATTTGGGGACATTACTGTATACTTATTTTCATGCATTTCCAAACCCTGAACTTAACAGAATTTCGCATAAAAGAACAGAAAAAGGCAAAGAAGAAAAGTCTGGTATGTATATGCGATTCATTTATTAATAACCAAAAATTAATTTAAAATTAATTTTTTAATAATTTTTAGTGACCAAATTTCTCCTATTCTGTAGAAGCAATAATTAAGAAAAGTCCATGTGTTTATATATGTTTGTTGTCAATTTTGAACGCCTCGAGCAGAAGCCATGGCCATATCCACACGGCTGCGATTACAAGCCAACTGGCAAGCCTCTGATATGATTAGGGGTCTACGAATAACTATCTGTATAATTTGTCTGTGAAGTGCACGAAAGAGCTCGATATGTCAAATATCCACAAGGTCAATTAATAATTAATATGCCTTTGGTAAAAAGCAAGATGCCAAAATCATTTCATGTGTAAAATGCTTTATTGCGTGATTTAAAATTCTTTTTTTCTTTTATGTTCTTATAGGATTTTGTAAGTCAGCATTTTATGTCAAGTTCAAAGCAATAAATGCATTGTTTTCATCTAAAAATAGAACATGCAATGCGTTTTTTGTTCTGTTTTGTTTTAATACCCGAATAGTTTTCGTAAGAAGCTAACTATATACTAAATAAGAAATATAATCTCCAATTTAATAGTTAAGTTCAGGTTCAGAAAACCGGTTAAATTCAGTTAATGCCACCGAATAACCACAATGTTACGGATTACGAACATAGTTGTCTAATTATAAATTAAGCTCTTGAACAGAAAAGGAAGAAAAGTAAGGACAAGTATTTTTTTTACAAAAAGGAAGAACGAAGATTGATGAAATTTTATCTACAATCTGATTAAGAGTAACCACGATGTAAAATAAGGGTTACTAAGATTTTTTTTATAAAATTTGTTTTGAATGGAATTTGTAAAAGAAGTTTGTATTATCATCATTGTAATTAATTTCAATTTCTCTAATTCTTAATATGCACAATACAGAATTGCGTAAGAGCGCCTTACTAAGAAGGATGGTGAAAAAATAAATAAAATTATAATATCCCTTCTGTTGCTGTAACTTAGAGTTTATGAGGTAAAAATTAAGAATTATATTAACTTAAATTGTTTAGCTAATTTTAAAAATTCTTTAATTTGACGAAACCAGACATTTGTACAAAACAGATTAAAAACTAAAATAGATAATTTTCATTCAACTGAAATACAACCAACTCATTTAACTACGTACAATAAAAGTATGCTTCAATTTGTGATAAACGGAGTTTTTTAGGGGTTTGGGGAAAAAAAACTGCAAGTTGAAAAATACTTTATGTCCAAATTCGATGAATTTCATGTAAAATCCAAATCAACTTTAATAGCCATTACCGGTAATTTTATATAACAGGTGAAGAATGTTCATCATCAATCTATCCAACTGGCTATATATATATATCCAACAATATGAACATAAATTAAACAAAAATATGCAAATAATTTGAATTCTAAGCATAAAAAAGTTTAAAAAATAAATATGATCTCCAAGAAGAAGTAGAATTGATAGACCAGAATAAAATGAACCAATCAAAATAGGAGTTATCCTCACAAAGATATAATTAATTTTCTAAGAATGATCATTGTGTAGAGAGAAATGTTTCGTAAGTAAAAGGGGGGGATCTGATTAGGATTATTTGATCGTTTTAGAAGACGATTTGAGGAAATCATTTTTCCTGACATGAAGCATGCAGTGCTCAATCACAAGATCGTAAATATATTGGCAGTATTGGTAAATCTCTCAACAGATATACGAAATACAAACTTTATTTTGTATTCCCATAAACATTTGCAAAATTTTTGTTCCATTTATCAATAATAAAAAACTGCAAGAGTCATTTTAACCATAATAAAATAATCAGCTCAACTTCAGCTCAGCTGAACCGAAAGCCTTAAATGAAATGCAAAATAAATCGAAAATTATCTGTCTAAAAATGTGATGCGTTAAAAATGTTCTAAAAAGAATTCTCGATAAATATCAAAATAATTTCATACTTTTTGCGAATGAACATATTCTATATAGACAGAAAATAATTTCAAAAAAGATTTTTTATTTTATTTTATGTAGCGATGTTAAAAAAACATTAATCCTTTCATTAATTTTTTTTTGAAGAAAAGTCTTACTCATTGCACAATCTGTTTTATACAAGCCTCATATAAGATAGAAATTTTCACTGTGATATTTATATTTTCTAGAATATTTAACAATCATAAGTGGATGCATAACATTTCTTCGAAATATTTAAACAAAAATCAAAATTCTACTAAAAATTTTTAATTGAAAAGAAATTAAGGAGAGACCATCAAAAAGAATTATGTTATGATATTTAGGAATCTTTAACGAATACCAAATATTTATAAAAGCAATAGAGATGTAATGAAAACGAACACACACACACAATGCACACAAATTATTCGCTCTTAGAAAAACGGCCACAGTTTAGTGTCACCATCTAGTGTCTTAAATAAGAACTACAAATTAGGAAATAATCTGTGCTCTCGTGTGTAAAGTGAAATTTACACGCATGAAGTTCTCGCTTGGATTATTATACCTTTATGGAATTAAAGAATTTTATTGTAGAGTTTGAAGTAATTTACTTATTTATTTTAACTTTTATTTGCTTTTTAGAATATGTAACAAATTTTTAACAGGCAAAAAGAAAAAAAAGACTATTGTCTATTTGAGTTGAAATCTGTATTAATCTTTATTACTTCAATATTTTTGTCTATTAAATTAATAACACAATATGGCTTGTTACATACCTGGGACGACATCATTTTTCTCCATTTTATCCACGACACTAGTTGCCAAAAATGTGTAAGACACTTTGTATTTGTCCATAACTTCCCAAAAACCAACTTCAGGGTAGAAAGGGCATCCATTATACAGCAGCACTGTTACGCCAATTGCAAGGTTTGCAACAAACAAATTCCACAAATTCCAACCAACCTAAGGAAGATGTAAATGTGTGCATATTTATAACAATGAAGTCATAAGAAAAAACAGGTAAAAAATTTAATTAGCTCTAAAAAAAGATCAAAGGCTTGTTTTTTGTTTTGTTTTGTTTGTTTAAAAAAACACTAGACTTCCTGAGAAACTTAAATGTTTTGTTAATAATGTAGTAATTAAAATATTGCAATTAAAAAATACCAGAATATTAACATAAAATACTCGTAGAACTGTAGCAGTAATATTAAATATTAGTATTGCTATGTAATGATGAAATAATATAGTAATCACAATATGAATGTAATAATTTTTCTATTTAATGGAAACAAGAAAGGCAACAGACTTACCGGGTAAGGAGTAAGAACAACGTCTCCTTTAACCAGATTGTAGTGAAGATTAAAATCACGGAAAAGAGGAAGAAGAGACTGGAAAAAAAGATTATTTTAACTTTTTTTTCTCTTTTTTAGATTCTTTCTCACATAAAAATAAATTCATATAACAATTATATTTCATGAATTAAAATATTCTAAATTAAAGCAAAATTAAGTTCATTAATAATCGATTTAGGGCAAACTTTTGTGCTGCCATCTGAATGTAGTATTTGCAACTAAACATTAAAATGTTATACTTTTATTTTCCCATTACACTATTTTAAACTTCAAAGTATGTGTAAAATAACTATTTGACTGGTTATTTCCTTTAATACTTTATTTAATTCAAAATCAAAATTTACTTAAATTTGATTATTACTG